CACCACGGGGAGCAAAGACTCTGCCAGATCAGTTTACACCCCTGAGCACACCTGGAGCAGAAGCTGGTGGGTGTTGAGGGTTTTATATCCTTTGAATGGGGCATGAGGAACAGGGTGAGTTAGGCACATGAGAAACAACCAGTCCCACTGTAAATTTGTTCACAAAACAGATGAAAAGGAGGTTCTCTCCCCAGTCACACTGCAAGAAACCATAAAGCAGCTTTTTAGATCCCTTCTCTCCTTCATCATGCAGAACTGCAGAAATCAGTTTTTCCCAAAGAGAAAGTGAAGTTTCAAAAGCTCAAGGGAGACTCTTGGCTCGGGGGGGGGGGGGAAAGGCAGATCCCCCACTCCCCTCTAGGGCCCTCCAGCCTCCCAAACTGGGGCGATCTCCCGGTTCACATTTGTTCCTGATGGTATTCTGAAGGTCCAAATGTCACTGCTCACCCTATTGCTCCAACAGAGCACTTAATCTTGTTCTTTAGAGCTCAAATACAAAAGTAAGCACTTTCCTGGGCTGTATTGACAGAGTTAATAAAAGTGCTGAGCCACACCCCCATTTTCTTTCCAATTTCCCCACAAACACATTTAATGGGATTTTTGACTGAAGATTTTATTTCATTCCCTACCTGTTTCTACAGAACTTATTCACCAAATGGATGAGCTGAACGACGAGCTGCTAAAAAAGATCACAAACAAGAAAATTCAGCCTCCCCACAGGAATTTCAAAGTGGAAAAGCCTCAATAAGTTTTTGTGCCCCTCACCTTTGAATCCAGCACTGAAGAAGTCAAAGCCTGGCTGGAGGCCAAGTCATTCAGCAAAGAGTAAGATTTGCTCTATTGCCACATGAAACGCTCGTCCTTCCCTGGAGAAGGAGCTGGGGAGGCTGCTGGCACCATCTCACCTGGGACAAGTCACTGGGATTTACTTACAGAGCCTGTGTTGTAAATTAGAGTTCAACCCTATTAAATCCAGGCTCTATAACCAGGATGTTCAGAGCCCAAACTCACCCCCATTTTTTCCTAGAAACATTTTCTTGGAGAAAAATAATCAACAAACTAAACCCACAGCCTGAAATGCCACTTGAATCACAGCTGCCACCCTGGCACAGCCCCAGGGCCCTGTGATACGATCCCAGTGTAGCTCCCAGCCTCCCGTCTCCCACTCCTCACCTCTGGCATGGGGCCACCTGCAGCACAACCATCATCTCCCCACTTTGTGTCTCCCCAGGACCGTGGAACACCTGGGCATCCTCACCGGAGCTCAGCTCTTCTCCCTCAACAGAGAGGAGCTGAAGAAGGTGTGTGGTGATGAGGGAAACAGAGTGTACAGCAAGATCACGGTGAAGAAAAACCAGCTGGAGGTAAGTGTTTTTCTGGATAATTCCTGATGGAATGGGGGGCTGTACCAGCAGTGTCATATAGATCATTAAAAAAACATATTAAGAAACACAATGGGGGAGGGGGGGGGAAATGCAACCAAACCTACACAAGCAATAAAATACACGTAAGAATTCTGAAGTGTCTTTTAAGCTAAAAGGCCCCAAACCCATAAGATTCTCCTGTATCCACTAATTAATCTGCTTTTTACTGATATCACCAATCCCTTTGAAACAAGCTCTACTCCTACAGCATTCATTAAATACTGTCATTTAACTACAGCTTGAAATTCAAATCCAAACTTCCTGTTTTGTTTTCATTCCAGAAAAGCAGAGGGGAGTCAGAGCTCCAAGAAATCATGAAGCGCCGCCAGGAAAGGATTGATTCTGCTAATTAAAGTCTCTCTGCTTTATTTCAGCTCTTAGCCCTAAGTAGTGCAGCAAAAAAGGGAATGAAAGCAATTATTCCCGGCCCAGGCCGGAGGCAGCAGAGCTCCCCTTGGGGTCCAGCTGCCATCAGAGTGACAATTCCTTGAACACTGTTGGGAAGGGTTGACAATGATACCATATCCCGCTGGGAAAGGTGTTTTAATTTTGCATGAAGTATTTTTTTTATAACTATATATTTTATACTGAAATTTTCCATGCATGCAATCAGAGCAGGATTCACACGGGGCTGGATGTACGACAAGGCTGCATTCAAAGACCCCCAAAGTTTTCTCTGAGGGCTGTCCCTGCTCCCACCCCTCGCTGGCAGAGCAGGCGTGGCACACAGTCAGGAGAGGCCAGCCCCAAGGCCTGGAGCCTGCCCCACAGGAATAAGGCTTTGGAGCCCTGCAGGGGTTTGGGTTTAAGGAAAGGACATTGAAGCTCATCCTGTTCCATCCCCCATCGTGGGCAGGGACGCCTTTCACAAGGCCGAGTTGTTCAAATCCTGTCCAGCCTGGCCTTGGGCACTTCAGGGATGGGGAGTGACCTAAGGCAGCCCCATTTCCATTTCCTCCTCAGTGCAGGTGTCCCCTGCAGCCCAAGAGCACAGGCCCGGTGACAACTCCCTGTCCCCTCCTGTCCCCCTGTGTCCCCTCATTGGACAAGGCTGGAATGGCAACACGCATTCCCAAAGTCTGGCTGCTTCCTTAAATCCACAGACCAGTTAGTGCTGTCTCTGAGCAGCTGAAATGAGCTCTCAGGGCCTAGAAATGAGCAGGAGTGACACACAAAGGGATCTGAATGTGGACATGGGTGAGTTCCACCTGCCCACTGCTGCTGATGGGCTCAGGGCAGCTGTGCAGCCCTTCCCTGGGCCGCTGATCCTGCACTGGAATGTTGTGGTGCTGCCAAACCCGGCCTCAGACCAGGAGAAGATAAGCCCTGGCCATTTGCTCCCATCCCAGGCACACCCACAGCCCTTCCCAGGGTGTTGGTCACTCATCCCCACCTTCACGTTTCCACTGTAAAAAGTCAGCTGAAATGATTCCCAAATAGCTGAAACCCTAAAGCATGCTGGGAAAGGCAGGTTTAACTCCAAATAAATGGGCACAAGAAAAACAAAAATCTAATTTAACACAGGATGTTGCTTTTGACTTCCTGTTGTCCTTCATGAAGTTATGTGCATTTGTATATAACAATCTGTAAATAGGGGGTGAGGAAAATCTCTCTCCCTAGAGGCAGATATAGTGATTATACTTCCAAAATTTACTCACAATTTCAAAACTCAAGCAAGCAGCATAGTTCCTGTCCACAGCAAGTTTGGCACATTGCTTTTCTATCTCTATAAGTGACAGACCAACCTGATTGCAAAGCAGTGAAGCAAACACAGCTCCAGAGCTGCCACAGCCAGGGACAGTTGGGTTTTCTCTCTCAGCACGTGCTGAGTCTTTGCCCAAATTTGTGTCTGTCCTTGCACATTTAATGGAAAAAGCTTTAACACAGCGTCTGGGGAACTCGTGTCTAAATCTGAGAGCACCAGTGCACCTCAGTTTTGGCTTTATTCTTAAGTGTCTCCAATGGATAATCTGTTTTCTTCATTTGAAAGAGGACACTGCTGGCACCAGCAGAATTAGGGTGCAGGCAGGGGGGGATCCTGGGTTTAGTCACAGCCTTGCTGGGATCTGAGAAGGGCACTCACCTTGTCAGGGAGGGATGAAGAGGACAATCCTCCTGAGAAGCCCTGGCTCTGGATTAGGTTGGAGAAGGGAAGCAGGATGGCAAGCACAGGAGGTGAAAAATTTCTACAATGAAAATAAAAACAAATGTTGAGCTAGGAAACACCCCACCTTTTAGTCCTGGGGTGTAGAGGAAAGCAAATCACAGGGAATTACAGTTACCTGGGATTTCAACAGGAGTGTACATGACAGCTCTGTAAAGCTGGGAGCCACAGCAGCACTTCCTAAAACAGATATCTCAGCAGACCTTATTGCAGAGGTCACTTTTACAAATTTCATGCGACTGAGCTGTGCACCTGATCTGTTTGTACTGCCTGCAGACACTGCTATAAAGTACTGTACGTGATGTAACTGAGCGAAGGAGACAATGATATAACCATGCACTGTACAAGAGTTATTAAAATAGTTAAGTTATACTTATAAATCCATCTCCATCTCTTTCAGTGGGTTTTCATAATGGTTTGTCACTGACAGTCTCAGAAACTCATCAAAATGTCTGAAATCACACATTTCCTTTTGGGTTTGGGGACTGACATTCAACATGAAAGGTGTTATGGTCTGGATAGATGTGTTTTAAAAACAGAGGTGGAAATCTGACACATCATAAGAATCAAGAACCAGAAAAGCTGCAAGCTGAACTCCTTTTCTTGTCTGGTCTAGTGGAAGATGTTCCACACACGGCAGGGGGTGGAACTGGATGGTCATTAAAGTCCCTTCCAGCTCAAACCAGTCTGGGAATCTGTGATTCCATGACTCACAAGGTAGGCTCTCCTATTCCTTGGTAAATAAGCCAGACGCAGTATGAGCCTGTTTCAATTCAAACAGCACTTAAACCTTTGCATTATTCTTTCTTGGGTTGGGCAAAACATGAAAAGGTTGTACAAAAGCATTCTTGCCTGTCAGGAAGGGAAACTTCTGTGGCAGCTGTCCCAAGTGGAACCATATAGAAAGAGGGAACAGCATAACCCCGTGACACAGCCAAGCAACAGATTCTCCGACATTGCCAGCCACTCTCTGTCTCAGGTGAACAAAAACACTAACAAGATCAGCTCCTCTACAGCCGAAATAGAGTTTAGGCAAACCCAGAGCCCAAAACAGCTGCCCTGCTGGGTCGGGGGCTCTCTCAGCGGCTGGAGCTGTGCCCGACATTTCGAAGCTCGCCACGACGGCAGGGGAGGGAGCGCAGAGCGCTGCGCTCCTGCAGCGGGGCAGCAGCGCTGCAGCTCCGACCCTCCCCTCCCGGCCGCCTCCCCTCCGGGCCGCCTCCCCTCACGGCCGCCTCCCCTCACGGCCTGCCCGCCGCCATCTTGCGGCGCCGGCGGCCATGAGGGACGGGCGGCCTGGGGGCGGGTCGGGCGCCGTGCCGGCCGTGGGGAAGACCCCCGGGTGGTTCTGAGGACCCGAGACTCCGTGGCCGGGAGGTCCCGGGGCCGGCAGAGCCCCGGACAAGCTCTGCTGGGGACAATGGCGGCGTCAGGGTCGCCAAGGCGACCGGCCGGCCCGGGAGCAGCCAATCAGAGCCGCTCTCCCTCCCGATGCCCCGCCCCGGCCCCCGGCCCGAGCAGCCAATCAGAGCCGCTCTCCCTCCCACCGCCCCGCCCCGGCTCCTCCCGGCCGCGGCCGTCTCGCGCCCGCGCTCCTGATTGGCGCTGCCGCCCAGCCGGGCTGGGATTGGCGCGGGAGCGCGCGGGCCGCGGGTGCGCGCGCAGCCGGTCCCCTGCGGGCACGCAGCGTCCCTCATAGGCGCGCGAGCCCCCGGAGCCGCGGACATGTCGGTGTCCCCCGTGAAGCGGCAGAAGATGGAGTCCGCGCTGGACCAGCTCAAGCACCACACCACGGTGGTGGCCGACACCGGGGATTTCAACGGTGAGAGCGGCGCGAGGGGATCCTGTCACCGCATCTCTCCTTAGCCCCCTCTCCCGCCCCCCTTCACGGAGAGTGGGCGCGCCCGGCCGAAGGGGCGCGCGCCGGAGGGAGCGAACCACCCTGCGGCCGGGGCGGGGGGCGCGGGGAGGAAGGCGCTCGGTGCCGCCTGGGTACCCATCCCGGGGCAGATCCCGCCCAGGCGCGACATTTTCCTCCCGTGATCTTCTCCCAGTGTGCCCTGACCACCACGTTCAGCTCTACGTGCTGTAGACTCAAGCCAGGCTCTGCTGTGCTGATGAATTCGGGTTTTCTTCCCGTGACCTGTCCAGATCTGGGACTTGTTTGGGGTTTTTCCAAACTCAAGGCAACCCGGTCCAGTGGGGGGTGTCGCTGCCTGTGGCAAGGGGTGGAACTGGACAATCTTTAAGGTCGCTTCCAACCCAATCATTAGAGGATTATGTAAAAATAATACCAGAGTGCTTTTGTTTCCCTTATGTCCTGAGAATGAGCCAGCACACGCCTTTGGGAGAAAGGGAGGTGGCCTTCGATTAAAAAGCCACTTGTTCCCAAGATGTCACTGCCTGGCCCGGCACAGACACGGAGCCTGCTCGGTCCATCAGAGCCAAGAACTCCCTCCCTGGATGTCTCTGGGTTGTGTAGAGCAGCCCTTGAATCCTGTCCTGTCCTCACCCAGGCCTGAAGTAATCCCTCCACTGCTTGCCTAATCCTGTTGGTGTAACAGTAAACAATCCTAAACAGCCACTGTCAAATGTCTTAAGAGTACTGAACTTAAGGTGGAGAGAGCACAGGGGTGGCAGCAGCTCAGACACAGAAAAAAACCAAACCCCCAGGATGGCCAAGGGGGTCTTTGTGTGCAGGCACAGTAAGGATTGTAGAATATCCCATAGGGATCATCAAGTCCAGCTCCTGGCCCTGCTCATAACATACCCAAGTTGTTCTCTGGGCTGCTCTTAACAGCTGGGGGTTATTCTCAGAGTCCTAACAAGGCAAGAGCCTTACCTGGCTCTCTCCTGGCAGGTTAAACACTGGTGGAGGTGAAGGTGGCTGTTGCTGCTGCTGGTTCCCAGTGGTGTTTGTAGAAGGTGTCAGTACAGAACGGAGTTTCATTGCTGTGCTGCTCTGCTTTAAGCAGTACCCACGTGCATTGAAGTCTGAAGGAGCTGTTTGTATGGCGTGGACCTCTCTCCAGGATCCTGATCATTGCCTGGGAGGGATCTATGGAAAAACAAGGCTTCATTTTAGTACAGTTGCACTCTCTCACTTGGAGTTTCATCCCTGTGTAGAAATTCTGAGAAGGGGCTGGTAGTACAGATTTTGGTGGGGTGTTTTTTTTTTTTGTTTGTTTTTTGTTGGTTTGGTTTTTTTTTTTTACATTTTAATTGTATTGTTGAAACTGCTGAGCAGCCTGCAGAGGCTCTGCCTCATTTGCTCTGGTTCCAAGCTGCGATTACAGCCGGACAATGTGTGCCACAGCCTGCTGGAGCAAAACCTGGCATCACCTGGAACAGGCATAGTCCAGGACTTAGGGTAAGACCAAGGGTCAAGTGTTTTCCTGGTAGGACAAGGAAATGAGAAGAACAGATACTGAGAAACAGAAGCCATTTGGAAAAGGTTTAAAAAGCAGTAAGAAAAGGTGCTGGAGTCTCACAGGTGAATTCACCTGTCCTGACCCCATCAGTTGGACACAAACAAAAGCCTGAATTTCTGACTTCTTGAAGGGAAGGTTCCCTGTTCTTTATTCCCCTCTTTGACTCCTGGAGCTCAGCTATGCTGGTTGGGATGAAGTTTGGAAATTAGTACTACTTCTCTCCATCCATCATTTCTACAGGTTTGTACTTTTGGGCAATTTCTGTAGTTTATAAACTTTGAAGTTTGCTGTATTTTGTGACTGCAGCCCGGTTGTTCTGTACTCTGGAACAAACCATCCTTAAGGCAGTGTTTAAACACCATTCGGTGCTGATGTGCTCTGTCATTAACAAATGTTTACATTCTCACCTGGTTGAGCAAAACCCTTCTGATTTCTCAGGCTGGCTGGCTGTTTCAAACAGGCTGGTTTTCTTTCCTCAGCCATAGATGAGTACAAACCCCTGGATGCCACCACAAACCCCTCCCTGATCCTTGCTGCAGCTCAGATGCCAGCATACCAGAAGCTTGTGGATGATGCTGTTGCCTACGGGAAGAAGCTTGGTGGGTAAGTAAAGAGGGGTTTAATCTCAGCAGACCTGTATTTAAAATGCCTTATTTATATACAAGCAACCTACTGGGGTTTCCCCCTCATATACTTGTGGGTTTGCCTCCTGCCCCAGAAGGCCTCAACACTGAGGAAAATTCCTTACGCCCATTCCAGATGTGTTTCTCAGAAGTGCATTCTCATTTCCCAGCTCACACCTGGCCCTCCTTGCTCAGGAAAGCAACAGCACTACAGGAAAGAGTGTCCAAAGGCTAATCCTGCTGGCAGGACAGAAGTGGCTCATTTGAACTCTGGAATTTAATGTTAAATGGGCTGTGAAATTTGATCTTCAAATCTGCAGCAAAGTGTAAACTCACCTTTTTTTTACTTCCATAAATGCTTTTGCTCTTTGTGGTTTTCAGGTCAGAAGAGGAGCAGATCAAAAATGCTTCTGACAAACTTTTTGTATTATTTGGAGCTGAAATCCTGAAGAGGATACCTGGCCGCGTGTCCACAGAAGTAGATGCAAGGTTGGCTCTTATCCCTCTGGGTTAGCCTGGATATTTGTAAATACAAAATGTGACCTGAATTGGAGAAAGTTTTTTTGCCTAGAAGACCAGTGGGACTTACATGATTAAATAATAAAGAGTGTGGATTTCCCTAAGTTTGACTAGAACTCTGTAACAAAAACAAGAAGCACTGACCTTGGATTTTCATAATCTTCCTCTTGCTGCTTAAGCAAGGGAAACCTCACACTTCCAGTCATAGTTCTGCTAATTCTCTTCCAAGTGATAGTAGCTGCTCATTTTAGCAAGAGATCTGTTTGAACAGTTTTTTTTAAGACTTGCACAGAACTTGGCTGTTAACTTGCTCAGTGCCAATTTTTGTTAATGCTCAGCTTCTGAATTCATTACGAGGAACTTCCTTCGAAGGGCTGACAGTCCAGGAGGGATCTGAGAACACAAACCTGCTGTTGGCATATAAATGCTGATAAAACAGGACAGTGCTTTTCCATGGGGCCTTGGGGGAGAGAATTAAAAACAAAAATCAGTTTTAAACAGTGCCACTCTTGCCTTAAAGGTTGTCCTTTGATCAGGAAGGAATGATTCAAAGGGCAAGGCGCCTCATCGACCTCTACAAGGAAGTAGGAGTTGGTAAAGATCGGATTCTCATCAAGCTCTCTTCAACGTGGGAGGGAATCCAGGCTGGCAGGTAAGGCTGTGTGTACCTGGTGTGCTGATTCATGGCATGCTCCTGCCTGTCCACAGGCACTGACATCGCATTCTGCACTTGAATGAACAGCAGTGCTGAAAGCACGGCATGAGGAAGTCTGTCATGAGCACGGAAGGTGCTCTGCCACAGCTTGCTGTTGAAACAGGCAAAGTTTCTTCATACAAGGGCCACAATTTCCTGAAATACCCTGCTAAGCTGGCTGCATTTGGCTAGAGGAACAGCATTAATAAAGCAGAGTTTGGCAGCATGAAACATTTGCTCTTAGCTAACAATTTTAAAGCTTACTAAGTGCACCCCATTGCTAAATTAAGGAATTCAGTACTTTGAACTTAGCAGCTCATTCCTGAATATGAATTCCATAGGTGAGCAAAGTGCTGTTCTAAGCCAGCCTGTGTCTGCAGGGTTCTGGAGGCCGAGTATGGGATTCACTGCAACATGACCTTGCTGTTCTCCTTTGCTCAGGCTGTTGCCTGTGCTGAAGCTGGAGTTACTCTGATTTCCCCATTTGTGGGACGGATCCTGGACTGGTACGTTGCAAATGGAGACAAGAAAACCTATGAGCCTTCAGAGGATCCAGGTGAGCACACATTTAACACTGCTGAGAAAACAGCAGCTGCTCATTCAAACAGTTTACTCATAAAAATCCTCTTATGGCAAAATGCCGGGTTTAAGCATGTTCTAAATAATCACAATAAAGTTGCTGGTTTCTACATGTAGGAGTGAAGAGTGTCACCAAGATCTACAACTACTACAAAAAGTTTGGGTACAAAACCATTGTGATGGGCGCCTCGTTTCGCAACACAGGCCAGATCAAAGCGCTCACGGGCTGTGACTATCTCACCATTTCACCCAAGCTCCTGGCAGAGCTCAGCAAAGAGCACGTCAAGTTAACTCCCACACTCAGTGTCAAAGAGGGTGAGTCTGCTCCTGGGGGCTTGTTCCAACTTACTTTCTTCTGCAGTGTTCAGAGTCTGGGGTTCTGGTCAGTGCTGTGGTACTTGCTGCCATCCTGCTTTAGGGATAAATCAAATTTCCTAGAGGAAATATTGTAGCATCTTTATGATATCAGTGCTACAACTGCTGATACTGAGATCTAAGTGGATTACAGTGGGTTTGGAGTGTGCTTCCATACTCTGCACCTCTCCCCATGGACAGGCGAAGAGGAAAGTTAATCTGCACATGCTCAGGGATGAAATTTTACTCAACAGTATCAAAGATGGCAAACTTGGTTTCATCTTAATCTCTAGACATGCCAAGAGGTGTTTTCCCTCCAGAAACTGGAAATTAATCACACACAAGACTGAGTGGTTTGATCTGGTGACACTGTGCCACAATGGCTTGGAATCCTTGTTCCCATTACATTACTTCAAGGCCAGGTTGGACAGGGCTTGGAGCAATCTGGGATGGTGGACGGTGTCCCTGCTTGTGGCCAGGGAGCAGAACTGAATGGGCTTTCAGGTTCCTTTCCGCCCAGATAATTCAAGGAATCTCTGATAATTCAAGTAATCCCTGTTCTGCAGCCTCATTAGAATACTGGTTTACATCTCAGAAAGCAGCTCTGTGCACAGCCATGGGTTGCTGCCCACAGGCTGCTGCTGGCCTGGGAGCCTGCTATCAAGTGAGCTTTTGTTAGTTCTTGCCAAATAATCAAAGCCCTGATTGTTCACAATATTTACTTAGAATGTCTCACTGCTGTGGGGCAGTTGCACAATTCCTTAGAATAGGCCTGGAATTGCTGTGCCATTCTGCAGCAGGTACAAGATAATGACACACACAAACACTGTTTTAAGATAAACTGATTTATTAGGCTACCTTTTTCCTCTTTGTTCTACTCCAGCCCTATCAGGAGCACTTTCAATCTCACATCCCAGACTGCAAGCAAGTGCTCCTGCAGCAAGTCATACTGAAAGTATTTAAAATTTTTCCAACACATAGAAATGGTCAGAACTCAAGACAATTTTAAGAAGATAAGAAACTGATCACCTGGTCTATTTCTTTTTCTACTTCTTCTGCACAGCTCAGGCGTGCGATCTTGAGAAGATCCACCTGGACGAGAAGGCATTCCGCTGGCACCACAACGAAGACCAAATGGCTGTGGAAAAGCTCTCTGATGGGATCAGGAGATTTGCTGCAGATGCAGTTAAGCTGGAGAGGATGTTAAAGGTGGGTATCACGCTCCTCCTGTGTACCGCAGCCAGCCTCGTGTGACTGAGGATTAAACAAGTCTGGTCAGGTCTTTGGACAGGTTAAGTAGGACATGCCACCTAAATTCAAGTGAACTTGGTAAGCCTCACTGCACGCCAAGAAATTGGCATTGGTGCCAGGTGTGGGCCATACCTGCAGCTTGAGGCCGCAGGGCTGGCAGCTCATCAGGATAACTGTCAAAGTGAGAAGTCCCTTAAATCTGATTCTGAGCTCTCAGCAGCATACAGGACACAAATAGTCTGCAGGTAGTGAGCTGGAAATAAATCATGTTTGTACTTGCAGGCACTAAGAAAGAGCAGATCTGCTGTCAAAGTCTTATGTTAGATTATGTAGAGGCTTTCATAGGGATTCATCAAACTCTTTTTTGGGAAAGAAATAGTATACCTGATCTAGGCACTTGGTGACTGGCAGCTCCTTGCAGCATTCCCAAACTCTTACTTAGCTGTGCTTTGTTTATTCATTTTCTAGGAGCGAATGTTCAGCACTGAAAATGGAAAATAAAAAAAGAAAAAATAATAATCAGAATTTCCCCGAGTGCTCCAAGCTGAGGTGGATCACCTGAGGTTCAGTGGATGTACAAATGTCTTACCTGTACAAGTATCATGCTGTGTATGGATAAGTTCTGTATCATGCATTTTTTTTTATCTATTTGCAAAGGGACAAATGGAATTTCAAATTTTGGTGGCACTTTTGTCAATAAATGCAAATTAAAACCGACTTGCCTTGTAACATGGTCAATTAATTCCTGCAGGAGACACCTGATAGGATTTTAATTTTCAAATTCCCAATTAAGTCTCTAGTCCTAACATATAGAAGAAAAGTTTTTAATTTCAGGTTGTTTTAAAGAGCAAGCACAGATTTCACAAGCCCCTCTTCGTACAAAACCCACAAATACTCCTGTGAGATACATATATATGTCAAAATATGTATGTGTATCTTACTTGTTTATATAGATCCTGTTCTATAAAAAGGAGACAAGAACAAGTGATAGGACAAGAAGGAAATGGCCTCAAGTTGTGCCAGGGAAGGTTTGGATTGGATATTACGGAACATTTCTTCACTGAAATCTGTCCAAGCTGGCACAGCTGCCCAGGGCTGATTCCCCATCCCTGGAGAGATTTCAAAGGCACATGGATGTGGCACCTGGGGACAGGGATAGTGGTGGCCTTGGCACTGCTGGGGGAATGACTGGACTTGATTGTCTCAGCAGTCCTTTCCAGCCTCAGTGATTCATTCCCTGGTTTTAAGAGATCCCTGCTTATATGTGGATGCAATTTGCTGTTTCCTGACAAAGCTGCCTGAACTTAAAGGGAGAAAAGGCAGCAGTGTGGCTCCAGCGCTGATGGGAGCCACTGATCCTCCCTGCAGTGTGATACAGCAGCTCTGCTGTCAGCACATCCAGAACAGCCTGGGAGCTGCTGTTCCAGCCAAAGGGACAGCCAGCTACAATCAGACACAGAC